TTCGTAAGTGTATATATATGTCGTAACACATGCAAACGTTCACCAGTGTTAACACATTACATTGTCAAATTCATAAATGCCATACCTTATTTTTGGACTTTATAAAATATTAAAATTATGGACTTATAACTGAATAGTGTGATGATGAAGTTATTGAAAACGATTGTTCGCTAAATTATTTTTCATTTTTGAATATTTTAAGGGAATTTTTAACTGGTACAATGTGATTGTACCAGTAATTAATAGTTATATGGGTGTGCAAATGAATACGGTGATATAATCAGTAGTTATGAATAACAATGGAGGCTTAGTTTACGATCAGACGTACTTCTTACGTACGCATAGTTCTGGTTTCAGGAACTTCTAATATAAAACACGAATATGAAATTCTTAGTTGTGTATTCATGAAACGGCTAATATTCTTCTTCGTTTTTACACCTACCATATAACCTTTAATCACATGAATCATTTCAACGATGATGGTTTCAACTTGTTTTATAATGTCATTATTTTATTCATAAATAAGTTAATTTTCTTCATTGTGTTTACTTCTCTATGAGCTTTAATCACATTCATCTTCGTAATGATAATCACTAATAAATGTTCTCATAAACTTATTGACCTAACGAGCAAATTACAATTTTCACTATATTGCAATATTCCTATTAAAATTGACTAAAATGTACTATTATTAGATAGTTTACAAAAGTGTTACTAAAACATGAACGGTAATCACATTATTTTAAATAAAAAATTACTAGATTAGTCTTCATTAGATGACAAAATCTTGTCTAAGTTTTCTTAACCTTCATATCTAATAAACGTTAGAAACAAGTTTACGAATACATGAGCGATAATCGCTTTTCCATTATTAATCTCTAAGGGATATCTAAATTCATGAGACATTAATAGGTGCTTAATCACTTGACCTTTGCCGCGGAAAAGTAGTAGATAAAAAATAATGGAAATCAAATTGTGGGTGGCCCTGAAAAGGGCCTTTACTCGTTCTCGCGGTCGGACGTCGTCACTATTAGTTTGTAATGGCGCCACAGATAGGACAGTGCACTGCTCGTACGTTCGGCGATGGGTCGTAGGCACAGAAGGTATGAAACATTGCTTCACATCTATAGAAAACCCAACCAACCGCATCACCGGTTTCACACGGAGGCTGCGCAAGATTACAGATGTCGCAGAGTCGGTTATCGTCATCCTCTTCTTCATTTTCGATTTCCCGTTCAGTTAACTCTTCGGATTTAATAGAAATTACTTCCTCCTCATCGTTACTGAGCGTTTCATCCAAATCAACAGTTCCTCGTTGTATAAACGGCACTGCTACGTTAGTCGAGGTTCTTGAAAGGGTGTACGAATGCTGTTCTCCATGCAAGTTTACTGGCGTTGTTGGTAGTCTACCGTGAACTATGAAGTCATGAAGTGAACTGCATTGTTCCTCCGACATTCGCCTGACTAACGCTATCACTGCATTCTTCATGCTTGGCTGACTCAATTGCATTGGGAAATAATTTTCAACTGCAATATGAGTCAGATAACCATCATAGTGTAACCACCTGTCACAAATTGACTGTACGTTCACATCGGTGTTACTGTGTGTGCAGTAAGCCAATATGTGACGGCATGGTAATCCGTTTTCAATGAAGAATGGACGCGAGCACCGGCTAGTATCGACGTGTACGCAGTACTTCCCCGTGGCGTCCATAGCGGTAAATAAATCTTCCGACAATGCAGACTGCGTTATAGGAATGCGGTGTCGCTTCAGTAGTTGATATTTATGTAATCTTGCTTCCATCCAATATCCAGTACGAAGCAGCACATTGAAAATGGATCTGAGAACCGGTGTTTTTCGATTAAGGTGATACATCTTCAAGACTCGGTGACTCGTTTCCACGAAGTTCGTATGGTTCAGTTCAAACAGGGTGGATGGCGGTCGAAAAGCAGTGGACCATTTGTGTTTCCGTGGTAGAAGGTGATCTCTGACGTATCTGCCAAACATTCCGTTCGACATTTCGACTAACGAAAGTACGTTGTTAAAACTACAAAATCATGTTATGTAGATTTTGATTTACCTTTCAACCGTTTGAGTGAACATGAGGCAAAAGAACAGTTGTACAATTTCTGATCGCACCCTCTACAATAACGGTTACTGGGTTAATGTTAATGAACGATACACTTACCCTCTTTATCACATTCCGAACAAGGTGTACGCGACACAGAATATGGTGTGCATCCGGATACACCTGCCTAATAGCAGCAGCAATTGCAGGTGAATCATCGGTCACAATGCCTACCAGTTGTCGACTGTTGGCACACCGTTGGAAAAACGCAGGAATACAGAAATGAATGTTGACGTTTTGCGACTTAAAAAGGCAATGCAGATGGGTATTGCCTTAAAATTCATATCCAGGGCAACGACTTGATATAAATGGACGTTCTCGTTATTCGTTTTGTACGTCCCGTCAAAACCAATTACGTCACAAAAGTGACCGGCCAAATTCAATTGCTCAGCAGTCATGAAGAAGAAATACGATAGACAGTTCTCATCGTCCAATTCGTATTCTCAAAGCCCACCCAAGGATGCTATGTGAGCTTTTAATTTCCTGTAATCACCTATAGTGTACATTATAAATTGGCAAATTACTTACCAGGAAGGTTCGCATGTGAGAACACTTTGTACCGCATATTACAGACATCTTGATCAGTCAGACGTTTCCCAAAAGATTGGTAAGCAAAACTCTTTATGTGGAATGCAGCGGTACCAGATATCAGCAGCGGTCTCACAGTTTCAACTCCCCATCCGTTAACCTGCGCACCCATGAATTACCTTGGTACCTCAGGGAGTTGCACTCGTGATTGTGATGCACGTTCCCACGTACAACAGTCCGGTAGCCGTCTATAATCTTACAAAACATGAAGGCCGGACATTGGGTGTTCATAGAAGCCCTTCGTTAAAAAAATTATAAAACCATTTACCAAATTACCTCCTCCGTCTAATACGTTGTGACGAACCGCTAGATCTTATACGCCCATTTAGCCAACACGCAAATTTAATATACGACTTTGATCTCTGCCAATATGCGAATCTCTCACTACATAATGACTGTAAGTCGATCTTTCAAAATTTGTGATAGTGATCTTTAACGCTTCAACCGATGGAATCGCAACCAGAAATGAGCTTCGTCGACAAGTAATGATAATTTATAACAATTTTCATGATATAACTAACCAATTAAATATAATTTTTGAAACTAGCCATATCATTGGACGAAACACGGGATGAGAAATATTGTAATTTGGGGTGGAAAATTTTTTTTATTGGAGTGGGTTTTTTTTAAAAAAAAAGTGGCCGGTCGGATAAAGTTATTCCCACATAACTATACGCCTAATTGCATACTATTTCCTAAATATCCTCTGAATTATCTACATTTTGCCTAATAATTATACAATCAACCAACAAAGTGTAAATAAAGGCGAACTCGGCGGATGTAAAGGGGAAATATAGTGAAAATGATCGCGAATTAAAGGGGAAATAAAGAGGAAGTTTAGTCCTAACGTGATTTGCATTTATCACCAATTTTCAAAGGGGGTCGACACAATGAACCTTCAAGTTATCGGCCGGTGGCTCTTCTGTCATTACCTTCAAAACTCATGGAGTCCCTGATATGCGACGGTTTAAACGACTATCTACTGTCCTTAAATTTCTTCTCGCCCCAACAGCATGGTTTCAGGAAGGGTTACTCTTGTATAACCAACCTGCTGACTGCGGTGGACAGATGGACAAGCATCCTCGATATCATTTACCTTGATTTCTCAAAAGCTTTTGATAAGGTTAACAATATGTGTCTTATCAATAAGCTCAAACGACTAGGTATCAGACCACCTCTAATCAATTGGCTTACTTCATACCTGAAACATCGACACTTTAAGGTTAGGGTTAATTTCACTTTATCTCAGGCTATGGAATGTCCTAGTGGGGTCCCCCAGGGCTCAGTACTATGGCCTCTTCTCTTCTTGATCTACATAAATGATCTTCCTCAACAGGTAACGTCAGACTTATTACTTTTTGCCGACGACGTGAAACTTTGGAGAGAGATACGCAACCAAGACGATATACAGGCACTTCAGGAGGATCCGACTCGACTCCAAAGTTGGGCAGATAATAATGGACTTACCTTTAACACTTAAAAGTGTAAAGTAGTCCATCTGCGACATGTCGCAGACTACAGTTATAACTTGGGAGACTCCTCTCTAGTAGTATCCCAAGTCGAAAGAGATTTAGGAGTCCTGGTGCCCTACGATTTAAAGTCTTATGCTGTGACAAAAATGCCTTCCGAACAAACCTTGCACTGGTAACGTTGAAGCGCGTTTTTGGACAGTTTGACGGACGAACTTTCCATACGATCTTCAATAGTTTCATCCGTCCCCATTTAGAGTAAGGAAACATAGTACTCCCTCCCCCACTCCAAAAGGACAAGGTCACTTTGGAGCGTATCCAACGGCGAGCCACGAAATCAGTTCGAGGACTCAAATCTAAACCTTACGAGGAACGCCTCCATTCACTAGACCTTTACCTGTTAGAGTATAGGCGTCTTAGAGGTGATTTATTAATGGCTTATAATATTCTTAACACTTCTGGACATCCTCTTAAACACCTACTTAAGCTTAGTTCGAATAATAACCTAAGGGGTAACACCCAGAAACTGGAAACACAACATAGCAAGACGGAATGTAGACATAACTTCTACTCCTTAAGAGTTGTCAAAAGCTGGAATTCGCTGCCAGCCGAGCTAGTCCAAGCGACTTCTCAGGAGTCCTTCAAGAGGCAACTTGACCTATTCTTAAGGACCAAGGACAGCATCACACTATGATTTACCAATTTATTTTCCTCTTTTATTGTTAACATACCTAGGTTCCTGCCTGGAGGATTTGGTGATCCCCTGCTACTAGACACGGAAGCCTGTTAAGCGAAAGCTTCTTCTATTCCGTCCACAACCATTTGAACCATTTGAACCTGGCGCGTTTTTCAACTGGTAACTGACGAGCCGGTCGGTCGCACCCTAACGTAATTGCTTCATATGAGCTTGTCATAATGTACTATTTATCTTCCAATTCTGGTCACTTCTTACGTGAGTTTCGGCAGAAGTGATGTATATAGACGTCAGTCCTTAAAGAAAACCTACCATTTCATACACTTAAGTTCTCGTTTCATGTTAAGACTCTTTTGATTACTACTCTTTTCTCACAAATCGTTTCATGAACAGACAACATCCTCACGGGCTAAAAAGTTGTCCAAGGTCTTCTATATGCTTTGTCCAATTGAAGTTCGTTAAATGATGTGTACCATTAAAAATAAATGTTTATTTGGGACGATAAAACAGTTTATTACAATTCTCAGTCAAAATACGTGATAACTTTTATTCTACTGGCTCAGCCTAATACAGGAAGTTAATGTCCCTTGACTATGTAATCGAAGAATGTACTGTTAAACAATAGTGGTTTAGCAGTTATAAACTTCGTATCAGTACTTTTCGCCCCAGTATTTTCAAACTACTATAAAGTTCTATCGAGCTAGATTTTAGTGTATCGAAGTGAATTATGAATTGTAAGTACCTAGCTTTATGCGTTACTTTTCAGAGTGACCAGATTTAATCAGCACCATCTTGTCATACACCCTCGTCTGGTGAGATTAGCTGTAGCTTTTACTTTTGTTGTTCTAAAAAATGGTTCGTTTTAATTAAAACAAAACTACTCAGCCCATAAAGTCGTAACTGTTACTATATAACCTGAATAAAGTTCTCGTGATTAAGTACAATGAGACGACTGATGTCGATAAGTTTTTGCTTTATTTTATTTCAACACATTGGCATAAGCAGGCACCAAATACATATGCGCCACACAAATCTCACTTGATTTGTGTGAGGGCTGTGATACTGCCCGGGTGCCTAAACCGAAACAGGTGGTTTTCTTAGGGGGCCACGCTCGAAGCCTTCAACCTGAAGGTCTGATCCACAAGGCAGTGGAGCTTAGTGAAGAGATGCAGTCCCATGGTAGCAGGTGACCAACGATTAGTTCATACGCCATTTGCTCCCTCAAGGTACTGTAGCCCATGTGCACCATTGGTTTGGAATGAGGGTTTTCCAATTCCCCTAGATGGACTCTCCATGTCCACCAACCCGGTTAAAGCGCCGGACATTCGCTTTTCGTCCTCTCAATTTCGTAAACAACACCCATGGTGCGAGAAGGCAGTGAGTAGGACTTCCCTGGCAGAAGCTATATATGCGTGGCCATATGAGAGCATTTCGAGAGGAAGGGCGGGCCCACCCCACTCTCGGCCATACCAGGGCATTTGGGGGCACGGACGTTTTGATACAACTGATTTTTTAGTCAAATTTAAGTTTCATGGTAGCTCCTGGTCCAACTTGCGCTGATTCACCTTGAAGCAATACTGTTGAAGTTATTTATTTTTCAGACTATCCGGATAGTATTTGCTTTATTTTTTTTCACGGGCTTAATATTTTAAATGATTATTCGATTTTTATTACTTTTATTGACATTCATGCTGTTATTATTTCCCAGAATTTTCTGGTTTGTTCATCTTGAGCCATCGCCTGGCACATAGTGATCTCTTCACTTCAGAGGTATTTGGTCTCGAAATAACAATACAGTAAATCGGTTTATTTATCAATGGTTGGCGACTGTGAGACTTCCATCTCATCAATTATTCTACTCCGTGTTTTGTGGGGACGTAATGATTCTTTTACTTTTGGGACTTTTAAGTTAAATAAACAACTTATACATTCTTTTGTATGAGGAGCAAAAAGAGCCGTCATAAATTAGCCGCTCTCAACTTTCTATCCAATATTTCTCTTGATGGGAGACATGAACATAAACCTAATGGAATTGGCTATCACTCTTCTGTCCCGTACATTTTCAGTGCTGGTAAGTATTTACGTTACTTTTGAAGCTTCTTTTAGAGATATATCAACCGAGTTACGATTCCACTCATTGTGATTAGCCACAGCACCGAGTTTCCAAACGGTTGCCTGGTTTTTCCGTAAACCATGTATCAAGACAGAACTATATGGATGCTAATGGTGTGACTTAAAAGTATCATTTCGTTCATGTCTCTCTGTATGCGAAAATTGAAGGTTCTCGAACGGGGTGTGCTAGTTTCCTCAGGCACCATTGGAAAGACCCTCAAATGCATAACTTTGATCTCAGAGACTGATAAATAATTGGAAAATATTTATTTGGCAACCAGCTAACTTTTGCTGTAACCTATTACCTAACCAACAGAGTATATACCGACATCCTGGTTTGAATAAGTATCTTCCAAAGGGCTACACTGTATACTCTAAACGCGATACGCTCCACAGGGTCACGGACAAACTAATAAGGGATGTTTTTTACGTTCTATAATAAACAAGATATTGGTAGACGGATGTTTTATAATTTGCTTGTTAAATTGATTTGTAACTGGTTTTTTAACTGAATAGCGAGTATTTGTCTTTTACATGAAAAATGCTTTTAATTAATTCATAGTTAATAGTTGCATATGTTGACAGGTAAGTAAAGGTATGTAAATTTTTGTTTATTTGTTTTTAGGACAAAATGGCACAAAAACTTCTCCAGTTAACTCTTCTTATGAGCAGCAAGTTAGTGATACATTTCATGAAATATCTGAAGAATCAGTACCAACCAAGTTTTCGGGAGTACCTGAAAACATCTTAAGTTCGGTGACATGTGCCCAGAATTATGCTTTATGCAATAGTTTCGTGGACACGCATCTACAAAGCAATAGATCTCAAACATTTTCTAAGGTTTCTATTTCAAATGTCTCCTCTTTATATGTTACAGATGTGCAACTGGGTAGTGAAAAGTATGTTAAATTTTAGCCACTTTTCTTTATTTATAAAATCTTTTAAATCTTCGATACAGATTAATTTTTGTCATATTTCTCAACTATGTTTTAAACTGCTCCCAACTATGTGGTTATGTTTTCACCTTAATCTCACCCTGAATAGTATATTCGTTGTTAGTTAATGTACTAATTATTCACCTAATTGTCCCTGAATGTAATCACGTGTATGTGTATGTGATCGTTAATCTAATTCAATTAATTGTAATTTATGGCTATCATATGTGTTCAGTCAGTACGTCGAATTGTGGCTCATTATAATAAGCCCTCAGTTCACAACCACTCGGTCTTCGGTACATTTTTGCTTCTTTTTTTAACAGGTGTAGTGCATATATAATCCCCAAATAATCCTTGTGACTCAATAACCAATACACATATATGTACTTGACCACTGAACTGTATTACTTGTAGGTGCAACTAATAATCTTTGCAAAATATTAATCAATAATAAGTTGACGTACTTAACTTTTAGCTACTCCTATTAATATTCTGTCTAGTTCCCCAGATAAGAATACACTGAGCGGAGAATGGATCTGTGTTTATGTAGTCAGAAGTTGAGTATTAAAACTGCCAAGTCACACTTGCAGTTCCATTGTTGTTACTGTCATTACTTCCCTAAAATATATCATAAGTCGTGAATTATGTATGCTAGAAGGTGAGTTGACCTGTTTCCATACCTTTGGTGCTTTTAATGTTTAGAGATCATGGGGCGTTAAAATAAGATAAAGCGGTTCCTGCTCTCTAATTTATGACAAACTCTCCCCAACTATCCTCCTATATTACTAGGTAACTTGTACTTTCAGGTTTCCAACTAGTGTCACTATGTTTATGAAATAGACATGATTGCGATCACTTAATTGATTGGTAAGACAAATAAAAGTTTGTAATAATCCAGTTAACCAGTGCGGCTCTTGTCTGGATGTATTGAAATTAAGTACTAGTTTCACAGACTCACTGGGTTTCTTCATAAGAAACAACAGATGATGAACTTATTCGTAGTATGATATGTTGGACAAGATTTAGGCTTGACAGTCAGGTATTATTTTGATTGAAACTCGAGTGACGCATAAAATCTGTATCTCCTAATCTCTTACGCTTCAGTTGACTTGTAAGTACACTTATTTTCATGTACATTTTTTGTACCAAAGCACATCATTTTATTAACATGAACACCATGATACTACTGAAGCATGTGAGTACCAGAACTAACTGTTATCCTAAGAAGCTATCTTTTAGTATTTGACTAAATTGTTAAGTCTCCATAAAAACGTCCCAACTCAATACCGACTGTTTACTAATAGAGATAATAACTCATTTATGGGCAACCAACTTCTGTTTAACGTAATTTTTTCTCCCAGTTTGAATATATCTTTAAAATGAAGTGTAAATATTCCATGTGTTGTTAATCGTAACTAGCTGATATTTCTTATTAGTTTCGCTAGTCGGTGTCACATATTTTCTCAAAAAGTAATCATTTTCTATTCCAGACAAGAAAACTTCACCGATAAATCATCGAACAAACTGTCAGTCAGTGAGTGGGACATGTTCTTCTAATATCATATTTTTCAAACTGTTATTTTGCTGTGAAGCTCGTAAATACTAATTTGACTGGACGCAAAAAAGCCACATTAAAAAGACCCATTAGAACTGAGTTGAGTAACGAGAAAACCAAAAGTAGGTTCCAGGAACAACTGAGGTCACAATTAGGTAGTTCTTAAAACGAGGCTGACCCAGATGTTGCTTGGAAAGATATACAAACAGCTGTGGAAACAGCAGTGAAATCTATTAGTGACTTAAACCACAGAGTTACAAAGAACCAGTGGATTTCTTCAAGGTCTGCCACACTGATGGATTCTCGCAAACTCGTCCCATCAGGTTCCGAACATGATGAAGAGCGACAACAAATCAGATCTAGGTTAAGAAAAAGTCTAAGAAACGACCGTGAGCAGTGGTGGGCAACGAAAGCAAAAGAGATGGAAAAGGCGGCGACTATAGGGAACACAAGACAGCTTTACAGACTAATAAAAGAAACTGGAACTAATAAGTCAAGTGTAAGTGAGATTATTTCGGAAAAAGACGATACTCTCATCTGCTCCCAGTCCAGACGTTTAGAACGATGGGCGGAACATTTTAGAGAACAGTTCAGCTGGCCTTCAGCTACTCTACAACTACCCTCCATTCCCAGACAGTGTGAATGGAACATTGAAGTAGGTCCCCCAACTCTTGCTGAAGTTGAGAAGGCTATAGTTAATCTGAAACGAGGAAGGGCAGCTGGTCCAGATGGATTGGCTCCAGAAGTCTTTAAGGATGGTGGTCCAATTTTAGCGATTAGGTTGACTAATATTTTGGCTAAAATCTGGGAGTTAGACGTTATCCCATCTGACTGGTCGCAATCACTTATCGTCCCAATATATAAGAAAGGGTCAAAATCATCCTGTGACAACCACAGAGGGATTAGTTTAACAAACATAGTATCTAAAATACTGGCCTCGATAATTATCAAACGCCTAACTAAGACTCGTGAACTACAAACACGAGAGAACCAAGCTGGCTTTAGACCTGGTCGTGGCTGCATCGACCACATATTCACCATTCGTCAGGTTCTAGAACACAGGCATACTTATCGGCGTCCGACGATGGTGGTCTTTCTTGACTTAAAAGCAGCATTTGACTCTGTAGACCGCGAGATTCTGTGGCAGTGTCTGTCATTGAAAGGCGTACCTCAGAAGTACATAAACCTTGTGAAGGCTCTTTACTCGAACACTACTAGTCGAGTCAGGGCTTATGGCGAACTGTCATCTACTTTTGCAACCTCAAGTGGTGTCCGTCAAGGCTGTCCACTTTCTCCATTTTTGTTTAACTTCATCATAGACCTATTGATGGAAATAACATTCTCGTCGACTGAATTCTCGGGTATTGATCTCCTTCCAGGAGGTCCACTTATCGACTTAGAATACGCAGATGATATAGTCCTGTTTGGTGAAGACGCTGACAAAATGCAGAGTCTTTTGGTAGCACTAAGCAACAATGCCAGAATGTTTGGAATGCGCTTCTCTCCCTCTAAATGCAAGTTGTTGCTTCAGGACTGGTCTGCGTCAACACCTGAACTAAGGATAGGGAGTGAAGTAGTCGAACGCGTTGACAACTTCACTTATCTTGGAAGTCTGATCAGCCCTAATGGGTTGGTATCGGACGAAATCTCAGCACGGATTCGAAAAGCTCGTTTGGCTTTTGCCAACTTACGTCACCTTTGGCGAAGGCGAGATATCCGTCTATCAATAAAAGGACGAGTATACTGCGCGGCAGTCCGTTCTGTTTTACTTTACGGCAGCGAAACATGGCCTTTAAGAGTAGAAGACACCCGTAAGCTACTAGTATTTGACCACAGTTGCCCTAGAAATATTGCTCGTGTCTGCTGTGATCACCGGGTAAGTAATAGTGAGGTTAGACACGGGGTATTATGGAATGATGGTAAATCGGTTGGTGAGGTCGTGAATTCTCATCGACTGAGATGGTTGGGCCACGCGCTACGTATACCTGAACGCCGATTACCACGACGTGCAATGCTGACTAGTGTATGGGATGGTTGGAAGAAAGTTAGGGGCGGCCAAACCAAAACGTGGCATCAGTGCTTGAAGTCACTAACTTGTAGTCTGAGCCATGTTGGTAGATGCAGACTACTTGGTTGGGGTCCGCGTGACTATTGTAACCAATGGTTGGAGACTCTTGGTGACATGGCTCAGAATCGATCACAATGTCGTCGGTGTATACACTCCCTGTCTTCCCTTAAACTAAGAGATTAAAATCGCTTCATATCTTTCTTTCTACGAACCAATTCTTTCTTCTTGTATTATATCTCTATATGCAATCTTTCTCTTACATATTACCACCTCTGAATTAACCACTTATATGAATCCGGTGTTCATCTTGCTGTGCTAATGCGGTATGGCAACCTGGACCGATGCATATATGTGCCTGGTCCTACGTTGTAGCTGACTGAAGTATTGTATAAGGGATTGCCGATTTCATCTGGTATATTGATTCAGCTCTATACTGTCTTGTCGAAAGAACATTTATATTGGTATTAAAACTTGTTCTAAATTTACACGTGAATGAAACCAATAATCAATGTTTAATGAATTTATCTTGGTTTCTAGGTGGCATCACTCCGTACCCAATTAGTCACCAGAACACTAGTCAATATCACATAGTATTACTATTTATATGAGAAAGATTTATGTACTGCTTTTTTATTTCAATATATGTTCAATTTGTTTTAATTTCTCGTAAAGTTATCTGTACAATATAATCGAATTTTAGGTATTTGAATGAGGAACTGAAGGTTGACATTAATCTTAATGTGTATTTATGTTTATGATATTACCTAGTTCACGTACTTGGAGTCCCCATTGTCATTTCTTGTAACCTCGCTAGTGTAGATATATGGTACATGCTACTTATGTCTGTCGACATTAGCATGCAACACCAGTCAAAAGTTGAATTGCTGACAGCAGAAGGCTAAGGAGATCGAACTGAAGAAAATAGAAAGGGAGATAGAAAATTGTGAATTGGAAAAATCAGACAGAATGTAAAAGACAATTAATGGAAGATTTGCAAATAAAACATTTAATGTATGGTTCTCATATTTTACAAAGACATCCTGTAATTCCGTATGTAATAATAAATGGGTTGTCCCCACCCGTGTTCTCGTTCATTGCAGATATAGCATTACTTTCATAAGCAGAACAAGCTTGAATGTAAGTCGATGAAAAGCTCACGGAATATGGTGGGTAGCGAAAGCAGAAGAGATGAAAAAGGTAGCAGCGATAGGTAACAGTAGACAAGTGTTCAGATTTATCAAGGAAACGATATTAAAAATCGGTCTGTTAGTGAAAGTATCTCGGAAAAACATGGAATTATTCACTCTTAACCATGGAGATTGGACCTATGGGCTGAACACTTTAGGGAATGGTTCAACTGGCCTTCAGCCATACTTCAGTCACCGACTATCTCCGAGCAATAGGAATGACAAATTGATATATGTCCTCCAACTCTTAGTAGGGTTGCAAAGGCTACAGGATATCTAAAGTGAGGGGGGCATCAGAGTCTTATGGACTAACCCCTGAGAGGATGATGGTCCAGTTTTAGCAGTCAGATTAACTGAAATCCTAGCTAGAATCTGAAATCTAAACATAATCTCATCTGACTGGTCTCGATCTCTGAAAGGACGAAAATCTCCTTATGACAATCACAGAGGAATTAGTTTAGCTAATAGTGTATAAAATATTGGCTTCAATAATACTTCGACGCCTAAATAAAGCTCATAAATAGCAAACCCAAGAAAATCAGGCTGGTTTCAGACGTGGACTTTAATGTATGGACCAAATATTCACGCTTCAGCAGATTCTGGAATATAAACATACTTTTTGACATCTGACAGTATTTGTATTCCTCGACGTTAATATAAGGTTCGACACTTGATTGGGAGGTTCTGTGGCAGTCTATCATTGAAAGGCGTACCGAAGAAGTACATCAACTTTGTACAGGCTCTTTACTCGAACACTACTGATCGAGTCAGAGCTTATGGCGAACTGTTGTCAGAATTGGTTGCTTCAAATGGTGTTCGTCAATGCTGTCCACATTCCCCATTTTTACCTAATTGTGTCATGTACATGCTTTTAGAGAAAACATTTATCGTCTGAATTTTGGAGTTGATCTACCAGGAGATTCACTTGTTGACTTAAAATACGCAGAATATATAGTTCTATTTGATCAAGACATCAAAGAAATAGTTTTCTGACCATTTTAGGCAAGAATACTAGCATGTTCAGGATGCTACTCTATCCCTCCAAATGCAAAGTGTTGCTTCAGGATTGACCCGCGTTAGCGCTTAAATTGATGATAGGGAGGGAAGTAGTTGAATGTATCGACCGTTTCACTTACTGTGGGAGTCTCGTCAATGCTGATGGTCTGTTGTCTGACGAAATCTCGTCACGGATTTAGAAGACTCGATTATCTTTTGCCAACCTGCGTCACGTGTGATGTTAGCGAAATATTTTGAATAATTTTTCTGGTTAGCGCTTTTTTAGCGAGGTAGTTTTCTACGGGATGGGGGCGCTAACCCCATGCCCAACCCTCCTCCTTTATCCGGGCTTGGGACCGGCAGTAGCTCCCGGAGGGACTTCCGCAGAGTTGTTAGCGAAATATACTCATAGGTATCATACTCATCCCAAAACCTGAAAGCTGTGTCTCATGGTCATTCGTTCAGTCGTAATCAACATTAACTAGCAATGAAAACCACTGAAGGTGTCACGTATGCGCAATGTTATTCAACGCTAACGTCCGAAACCTCTACTCAAACATAGAATACAAAGGCAATTAAATCAGAAGTAGAGAACGAAGGTATACTTGAGTCGCTGTCGATATGTATTTGATCCATTCTGACTAATTGCCATAAGAGATGTACAACACGGCATATTCAAATGTGATTCGGTGTGTTCATTAAAATTAATAAGATCAGCACCAGTGTTGAATGCTTACAAACTTTATTTTGGGAATTTATTAACCACGCCATTATTTTCAATTTTCTCAAACCAATATTCCTAAATTACTTGACCTGACGTTATTTCATATAAAAGAGTTAGTCCTATTTCACAACTTTATTCTCTTTTAATATTCTTATTTAGCTACTGATTCATCTAATCGAATCACTGAAATGCAACCTAAGACTAATTTTAAAATTAAACTATCTCATGAATCTGGTAATATCAGTTTGGAAGACATAAAAGGACTGTGTAAAATGAATCCAAAATCAATGCAAACTAATGCGTTATCCATAATTTCCAAACGGTATGTTAATATTTATTTATTTGTTTGAACACATAAACATTGGTATAAGGGAGCACCAGATACATATGCGCCACATAATAACAATGAGGTCGTTAAGAGATAGAGAATGTAAAGTGCGTATAATAAGAAGAACAACGGACAGAGATTAGTGTATGAGCGTGTAATAATAATAATAATAATAATAATAATAATAATAATAATAATAATAATAATAATAAAAAGTGGTAGAGGCAATCCAGTTAGGAAAAATACAACCAGAAAGAATTCTTTCAGTTAAAGAAGTTATGTTCACTTCTATGATTTATTTATTTATTTATTTATTTGAACACATAAATATTGGTACAAGAGAGCGCCAATATATATGCGCCACACAAAACAATGAAAATTCGAAGAGAAATAGAAAGAGAAAAAAAAAACTAGGGAACGCAAAAGAAAAAGAGAACAATGACGAAGAGATTGGAGTAAGGTAGTGTGGTAGTAACGACGGAACGAAAAGGTACAATCAGAAGAAATCTTTCAGGTAAAGGAGACACAACCACTTTTTAGAAAGAAAGTAAAAGAAGGTTACAGCAGGATCGCCACTGGCTTCTATTCTGAGCCATATCTGATAACGTCTCTAGCCACTGTGTAGCACCATCTCTCGGACCCCAACCAGGGAGTCGTGAAGGACCAACACAAGCCAGTCCTTTGCAGCTTTCTTTCATGCCACGACACCATGTCATGCACTGACCACCTCTCCGCCTCTTCCAACCAGTCCCAGAGTCGGCAAATAATGCACGACGTGGAATTCTCTGGGACGACATTCGGAGAACATGTCCAAGCCACCGAAGTCGGTGTTTCAAGATGGTGACACCAATTGAGTTATCATCTCTGTGCCCGAACACACGATGCCGAACCTCTGCATTACTGACATGGTGTTGCCACTGAATGTCAGCAATCCTTCGGAGACAGCGATGATCGAACACAGAGAGTCGTCTAACGTCCTCAACTCGGAGAGGCCAGGTTTCACAAGCATAGAGCAAAACTGCTCTCACCGACGCGTTGTAGATCCGACCTTTTACAGCCAGACTAACATCACGAAGGCGCCAAAGGTGGCCCAGATTGGCATAAGCCGCTCTGGCTTTCACTATTCGTGCATTGATCTCATCACTCACACCCCCACCAGCACTTATGCAGCTACCCAGATACACGAACTTCTCAACTACGTCTATCTGCTCACCGTCCAGGGTGAGTACAGGATTAGAATCCTGCCAGTCTTGTAGAAGTACTTTGCACTTCGAAGGTGCAAAGCACATACCATACCTACGGACACTGATTGCCAACTGATTAAGTGCGGATTGCATGCCTTGGGCATTATCGCACAGTAAGACAATATCGTCCGCATACTCAAGGTCGAGAAGTCTTTCTCCAGGCAACAGATCCACACCACCATTACTTACATTCATCAGAGCTGTTTCCAGAATGTCATCGATGGCAAAGTTGAAGAGGAATGGTGAGATTGGGCAACCCTGCCTAACCCCACTGCTCGAATGGAACAATGGAGAGAGGTGGTTGTATGCCCTCACTCTGCCTGAGGTGTTTTTATACAGGGCTTTCAGGATGTTAATAAACTTCTCAGGCACACCCTTCTTCAATAGACAATCCCAGAGAACAGTCCTGTCCAACGAATCGAAGGCAGCCCTGATGTCAAGAAACACTACGATTGTTGGCCTTTGAAAAGTATGGCGGTGTTCTAACATTTGGCGGAGGGTGAAGATATGATCAATACATCCTCGACCAGAACGAAACCCAGCCTGCTCCTCGCGAGTCAATCTTTCTCGGGTTTTGAACAACCTACGAAGAATGACGGAAGCCAATAGCTTGGACGCAATCGGAAGTAAACTTATCCCCCGATAGTTGTTACAAGAACGACGTGAACCCTTTTTAAAGATAGGGACAACTATCGACTCATTCCATGACGTTGGTACACTCTCTAGTTCCCAAACCTTTGTAAACAACGTCGTCAATTCCTTAGTCAAAAAGTCACCACCATCTTTAAAAAGAGCCGGAGGTAAGTCATCTGGGCCAGGTGATTTGTAACGCTTCAAGAGTTGGAGTTCCTTGCGGACTTCCTCCTCATTTGGTGGATCAGTCGTCACCGGCCATGGAGGGCAGGACAGTCTGACCGATGTTGCCGGAGCAGCAGGCCAGTTGAACTGCCCTTCGAAAAATTCTGCCCATCGTCCAAGACGTCGATGGATGTTAGTGATTGGCATCCCATCATCCTCGCAGATTGTTTCACTCACACCAGACTTCTTGCTGCCAGTGGCTCGGATGAGCTGGAAGAGCTTCCGGTAGTTACCAGATGCAGCTGCTGCTTCCAGCTCATTAGCACGCATCGACCACCAGGCTTCTCGGTCCTTACGCAAGCTTTGCCCAATCTCCTTACGTAACATCCTTCGTTTATGGTCAAACTCACGGTCACCCGGAGTAGACCGACGGGCTTCAATGAGTTGTAAGGAACCAGAAGAAACCCAGTGCTTAAAGGCGGGACGTTTCGCAAACCCACAACTGACTGTTCCCGCCATTTTCATGGCGTCATGCAATTGCAACCAATGCTCATCTATACTTTTCGGTGGAGTGGTAGCTAGCCTAGAGGCTAGCTCGGTTCGATACTTACTTGCAACAGAAGTTGCAACCAGCTTGCTAACATCAATCCGTTGATGGCGTTCACTTCGTTGTCCACTGAAAAGTAAGGTAAGATTGGCGCAGACCAAGGCATGGTCAGAGTCCAGATAGGTACTCCAAAAGGAGCGGCAGTCTTTTACACAACCACGCCAGCGGTAGCTGATCGCGATGTGATCAATCTGAGTCCAGGCTTGAGATGCAGAGGGAGGACGCCAGGTGGCACATCGGCGATGACTGTGCCGAAAGTTAGTGCTAGCCAGAAACAGGTTGTGGTCTGTGCAAAGTTGCAGTAGACGGTCCCCGTTATCTGACCTGCGACCAACGAGTCCCCATCGGCCACCTAAACGACTCTCTTCTGTGCCTAGACGCCCGACCTGAGCATTCAAGTCTCCGGCTAGTACTACAATATCTGTCGAACGCACTTTCTGGAGAAGAACTGATAACTGGTGGTAAAACTCATCCTTGATTGCATCCGGGCTGCAATCTGTCGGGGCATAGGCGGAGATGACGAAAAGACATCGTTTCTCACGCCGATTTCTTCTCACTTTGATGGAACTTTCTAATCTAACAGCACATAACCGACTGTTAATGGGGATCCAATCGACTAGTGCTGCCTCAGCTCTAGCGCTTAGTGCGACACCAACGCCAGCAAGACCAGACGAAGATGCCACAGGGTCCCCGGATAAGCGCACGTAAAACAAGCTTTTCGAAGCGACAGATGGAGATCGAATTTGTAGTACTTCGCCAGAGTCTTGAATACGGGTCTCGGATAGACAACACACGTCGATATTAAGACTTTCCAAAGACATAGCCAGCCCTATCTGTTGTCCGACCTGCATAAATGTGCGAACGTTGAAGGCAGCCAGTTTGAATGGTGCACGTGGTTTCAGAAAATCTGCTTCAGTCCTCGTATTCGGTGGTAACATACAATTTTCAACCGGACAGTGACTCGAGAACGTATAGATACAGTCGGATTTCCGCCAAAGACGAGCCGCTGTATAAGTATAAAAGAGGGTGAGTAATGTGGAAAATAATAATAATAATGATAATAATAACAATAATGACAATAATACTAGTAATAATAATAACAGTATTAATAATGACAATAATTGTAATGATAATAATCTGAATCAATTGTTTGTTTTTCAAAGCAAGAAAGGTAATTTCCGTAGGCATAAAGAGTTCATCAATTTGTGTGTGGGCTGTGATACTGCCCGGGTGCCCAAACCGAAGCAGGTGGTTATCTTAGGGGGCCACTCCCCGAGCCTTTGACCTAAAGGTCTAACCCACAAGGCAGTGGAGCATCGTAAGGAGATGCAGTCCCATGGTAGCCGGTGACCAACGATTGGTTCATACGCCATTCGTTCCCGCAGGATACTGGAGCCCATGTGCACCATTGATTTGGAATCCGGTTAAAGCGCCGGACATTCGCTTTTCGTCCTCTCATTTTCGTAAACAACACCCCCGCCACGAGAAGGCAATGAGTAGGACTTCCCTGGCAGAGGCTGTATACGCGTGGCCGTGTGAGAGTATTTCGAGAGGGAGAGCGGACTCTCCCCACTCTCGGCCGTACCAGGGCATTCAGGGGGGCTCACTTCTATGAAGAAAACAAAACAAAGTTACAGTAGGATCGTCACAAGCTTCTATTCTGAACTGTGTCTGATAACGCCTCTAGCCACTATGTTGCACCATCTCTAGTACCCCAACCAAGGAGTCGTGAAGGTCCAACAGAAGCCAGTCCTGTACATCTTTCATACCACGACATCATGTTATACACTGACCACCTCTCCGCTTTTTCCAACCAGTCCCAGCGTCGGCAAATAATGCACGATGTGGAATTCTCTGGGACGACATTCGTAGAACATGTCCTAGCCACCGAAGTTGATGTTTCAATATAGTGACATTAATTGAATTATGGACGCTGTGCCTGAACATACGATGCTGAACCTCTACATTACTAACATGGCGTTGCCACTGGATGCCAGCAATCTTTCAGAGACAACGATGATCAAACACATAAAGTCGTCTAGCATCTTCAACTTGGAGAGGCCAGGATTCACAAGCATAGAGCAAAACTGCTCTCACCGACGCGTTGTAGATCCGACCATATACAGCCAGACTGACATCACGAAGGCGCCAAAGATGGCCCAGGTTGGCATAAGACTCTCGGCTTTCACTATACATGCATTGATCTCATCACTCACACCCCCACCAGCACTTATGCAGCTACCCAGATACACGAACTTCTCAACTACGTCTATCTGCTCACCATCCAGGGTGAGTACAGGATTAGAATCCTGCCAGTCTTGTAGAAGTACTTTGCACTTCGAAGG